AAAAAAATATATATATATTTTGGACATAGGATCATCTCTGGGAAAATCTGGGCCTCAAGGATAATCATATCCTGTGGTCTTTCCAGAAAATCAGGGAAGATTCAAAGGGGGAAAGAAAAGTTTATGTAAAAGGCAATATGTAGCTTGAGAGATGATGAGTGGGAAAAGGAAGTAAGGTAGTTCTATCCTTCACACACACACACACACACACACACACACACATACACGCTCATGCACTATTCTCTTGTATAGCTGCTTATATGAGCACTGGATAATTTCTAGTACTAGAAGCAGAACATGCTTCGTTCTCCCATCCGTTGCCCTTCTAGTCATTTCTTAATAGCGTCAGTGTGTGCCTTTCTCCACTCCTCAATCATATTTTCTACCCACCATCAGTTGTAAGAATACAATTCCATCATTTTCAGAAAATTTTTTCACAGCCCTGCTTTGAATTTGCATCTATAAATTTACTCCAGTTTCACTGGTTTTGACTTTATTCACCTTCGCAGTTATTGGACGGCCTTTGAGTGCTGAGCAGGTTCATCTGTATCTATAAGGAAACAGCCTTTTCAGTAACTCCACATGAAGTCTTGGACAGTCAAGGTTCAGCTTTATATTGATTATAGTTGAAAACTGAGGATTATATCTTTTTGAATTATTCCACTGCAAGTCACAAAAACAAATAAGTCACTTTATCTGAAACAAGATAAAAGCTTATTTTTGAAGTGCCTTCATGATGTTAGGAATCCACCTTCCTTATATCTTCCAGCTCCATCATATGTATGACCTCCACTCCCAAGTGTTTCTCTTGGTCTATGAGAGCTTCTCTAGCTCTAGCCATTACATTCCAGACAGCAAAAAATACAAAGAGCTGAGAATCGGACATATCCTGTTAAACTCACTAAAGAATTTGCACTTAAGATTCTGCTTTCCTTCTCATTGGCCAGAAATTAGGCAACCGGCCAGAATAAGGTGTACTGGAATTTGGGAAATGTGTTTTAGACAAGTAGCAATCTGTGTTGCAGAGAGAAATACCATTAATTAAACAATGATAGTCGTAGAACTGATTTGCATTTATGTAAAACTGTATCTTAGAGCCTAGAATTTTAATATAGCAAACTTTGACTTTTCCTCAGTGATGCCACATGCGGGAAGTTGTTCTGTCAAGGTGGGTCAAATTATGTGCCCTGGAAAGGACGCATAGTAACTTTTCTGACATGTAAAACATTCGATCCTGAAGACACCTCTCAAGAAATAGGCATGGTGGCCAATGGAACTAAATGCGGAAGCAAGAAGGTAAGTTTAAAGTGTGGTTTTTACTCAAAATATTTTTTAATGCTTCTCAGTTATTCACTAGTTGCTGTGCTTTCCAGTTATTGGGTTTGCCACGTCTTGATACAGCCGGTAGGGATTTGAATTTGTAGCACTATGAGAGAATTAAGTGGTGGAGGCCTGATAAATAATAATAAGCACCATCATTAATATTCTGGATCAAACAGGATGGCAGAGTTTGGAAATAACTGACTCATGTAGACACAATTTGAAGATGAGTTTGATTGTCATGCTGATAGCACATAGCTGCGTATGTTTTGCTTTCTTAGCTGGTAACTCACTGAATATCGCAGGATGTGGGATATCTGCACTTCAGTTGACAGGTTTGTACATCCACTGACAATAGAACAATCTCATAATCTCAGGCAAAAAAGTTACTTAGGCAGCATCAACACATTAGATTTGATAATAAGGAGAACCATCTCTCATAGGACATTATAAACTCTTTGCCGTTGAGTCGATTCCGACTCATAGTGACCCTATAAGACAGAATAGAACTGTCCCGTAGGGTTTCCAAGGAGTGGCTGGTGGATTTGAACTGCTGACCTTTTGGTTAGCAGCCAAGCTCCTAACAACTGTGCCACCAGGGCCCCTAGGGCATTATAGGTACCCTATTTATTGCATTGAGATGTCTACACCACCCAAGAGCTACCCTGATTTTGCATTGTGGTAAAGCCAATCTTGAAGATGTTATTTTACTTACTTAACTTGTTTTAGCTATTTAAATGTGCATTTATTAACTGATGAACTGAGCTTTGTTGCTCAATGTAGGCATTGCTCATAAATCATTTAGGAAGTAATTATGGAGAGTATAATTTAATTCAGTAAATATTTGTTAACTGCCTAATTGTAAAAAACAGTCTGGTAGGTTCTACAGATAAAGAAGTAAACGAGGTTGACATGGCCTCTGAGCCCATGACACCTACAAATACAAATTTAGTAAAGTTTATACTTGCTTCTGGATTTGAAATTAAAATGTTAATTATTGCTTTGAGCAGGGACTCGCAGCACTTCTCTTCTTTCCCCCTATGATTCCAGATGGATAAATCAGAATCAAGGGTAAAAAGTTTCACATTGTAGGAGAGGCACTTAATTGGATTTGCCAGTTTCCAGATACTAATTCTTTCGTGTTTTCTAGTGGTGAAGCTTTCAAAGACAAGGCATATGGCCCCCCTTTTCTATCTCTTCTGGAGCCTGGTCCCTATGACTTGGCATGAGGGTTGCACTACTTGGGCATCTATCTCCCTGAGACTTTAAGGAGAGAAGAGATGCTTGGACTAAGGAGTAGCCTGGCATTAATACCATTCTTATATTTGTTGCTTATATTTTAATTTGTGTAGTTATTACTTCTGAAATATAGAACGGATTGGAGATTTTTTTTATAGGAAGATATTTACTTAGCTTTATCAATCTTCTTGAGTTGGCTTAACTAAAAGCAACACCATGAGCTCTAGAGTCCACATCCAATTCTCTTTCCCTGTCCACACCACACAAGTACACAATAAACAAGATTGTAGGTCTTTAGAACCACTCTCCCATGATAAGTACATGCCTGATCACTCTTTACCCAGCATCTGTTAGACTCTTACTATATATGTCAACTTTCTCACCTACAGCAGAGATGATTCAATCTCAAGGCCTGCACATCTTTATTCAAGTCTTTGTTGCAAAACATTACTTTTACCAGTCACTCGATTTCCCTTTTTGCTTCACAATTGCTAATTCTCTTTATTTCTCTCTTTATTACTGTCACAGATATATCATTCATTTTTTATTTTATAATATTTCTTTTCTTAAGATCCCATCACCCTGTAATACCAGTGTACATGCTGGATCAGTTAGGATGCTTTAGGCTATAGAGGACAGAAAACCAGTAAAAATGACTTAAACAACTAGGATATTCATTATTTCACATAACCAAAAGTTCAAAGGTAGAAAAACTGTGGTCCCTGTATGACTAATGCAGTGTGACAATGACATTATCACCAAGGACCCAGCTTCCTTTTATTGTTGCCTTCTGCCTTCTCAGACTGCTGACATGTCCCCTCAGGCTGGCTCCCCTCACAGTCCAGGATTGCTGCCCCATTTCCAAGTTTTACCTACAGAAAGAGTAATGGCAGGGGCAGAAGGAAAGCTTTCCTTGCACACCTTTTATGAAGAGTGAAGAACTTCTCCCCAGAAATCACCCTCCAGCAGACTTGGCATTACCTTTTATCACCTGCCCATTCCTGAACTTATACCTGTCAAGGGAAAGGAAATTACTATGGTTGCCTGAGGTTCACTTAAATTTACCATTAAGCTAGGGAAGGCCTGGGACACTCCTGGGGCACATGAGTGACCAGTATATGAATAAAGCCAGGTATGTGTGACATACAACACTTTGTGTCATGAATGTGAAGCAATTTGAATTATTATATATTTGTATTTTCAATGTCAAAATTTTTCAAACTTATTTTTGGCAGTAAAGTATTTTATTCAAATGAAATTATATAAGGATGCCCAAATATATTAAAAAAAAAAAAAAAAGCAGAGTCGCTCTGTGTAAAGTGGGGTGTGAGATGGGCACCGAACGCCCAAGCCTGTGGCTCTCTCTTTGTGTTGCATAGAGCATAGTTTTCAGAACTGTGCTTATGCTATTCATTTATGCATGTATTCATTCATTTCTTCAATAATATTTACTAAGTATCTATTATGCAGAGCTCTGGTGGTGCAGTGATTAAAGTGCTGGGCTGCTAACCAAAAGGTCGGCGATTCGAACATACCAGCTGCTCCACAGGAGAAAGATGTGGCAGTCAGCTTCCATAAAAATTTACAGCCTTGGAAACCCTATGAGGTTGTTCTACTCTGTCCTGTAGGGTCACTATAAGTCAGAATTGACTCAATGACAATGGGTTTGGTTTTCATCTATTATTATGTGCTTAGCACTAAGTTGTTAAACTTATTAAATTTTAGTGTGCAAAAGTTGACAGCTACTCAACCAATGATAGTCACTCTGGTACTAATAAATAGAACAATAATAATATTATTTATACTTACATAAATTATAATTAATTTAAATTTCACATGATGTGATATTAATATACAGTTTTTGTAATATTTTTGTTTGAATGATCATCTGATGTTATGTGCAATGCTTAGTTCTGTGCTAAAGTATCAATCTTAAGAGTTGGACTGAAGTGGATAAAGAGAATGATCAATGAGGAATGAAGTGAAGGAAGAAAGTCTTCTTTAAAGAGGACTTTCTAGGTATTTTATTATAAAAAAAATTAGATCTCATCTTCCTTCATTCAAAAGAATTCTCTGATTTCCCTAACAAAAAGATAAGTTGATAATAACAATCTTAAATAATAATAATATATATTATATATATAATAATATATATAATAATAATATATAATTTGCAGAGGTGAAACCATTGGCTCTAATGTCAACTTTGTTTTTCATCTCACTTTCAGGTTTGCATTAATGCAGAATGTATGGATATTGAGAAAGCCTACAAATCGACCAATTGCTCATCTAAATGCAAAGGACATGCTGTACGTTTTTAGAATATGATTCCCTAAGTTTTCTGAGTCTTATGTAATTTTAGGTCAGCTGTGATGAGACTAAAGTAATATTTACAATATTAAATGATTAGAATTAAGTTTGTTACCCCTTCAGTGGTGTGGTTCAATGAGAAAGTTCTTCTAAGAATCCATTACTGAAATTCCTGTTATTGATTCGTACATTATGTAAATAGATGAAATGAGACATGGCAGGCATTATTCCTTTTCCATTCTTATGGATGAATAAGCCCTTGGGGTTGTGGTAGGTCTGGCAGGGAAACTAACAGAATCCTTGCTCCTCTAGGTGTGTGACCATGAGCTCCAGTGTCAATGTAAAGAAGGGTGGGCCCCACCCAACTGCGATGACTCCACAGTGGTCTTCCGTAGGTAACATTACACATCTAGTCTGAGAAAACTGTGCTCCTCTGCCATGTTTTTATAAGAGTTCATTGCCTCTTTCCTCTCTTCCTGAAATCCTTATCATGTAGATATTGAAAACATGATAGTATTCTTCAAAGTATCTTCAACAACTTTTTAATCATATTTTCCACATACTTACGTTTTTACTTTCCATACTAAAAGATTTCCTAAAATTTTATATTTACCTTATGTTAATTTCCCAAATTTTCTTGTTTCACAATTCTTTTCCTTTTTCATAGCCCATCCATTGCCATCAAGTCGATTCCGACTCATAGTGACCCTATAGGACAGAGTAGAACTGCCCCGTAGGGTTTCAAAGGAGTACCTGGTGGATTTGAACTGCCAACCTTTTGGTTAGCAGCCGTAGCTCTTAACCACTACACCACCAGGGTTTCCTTTCATAGTAGCCTCTACTAAATTTGCAGATATAATATCCTCAACTCTCTGAGAATATGAATTAGATAATTTTTTTTTTAGGTTCAATTCTTTTCTCCGAATTATCTGTTTCTTCTGAGTCCGATTGTTCTGTTTGCTCACCCTGCCTCTTTTATTTCATTGTGCTGGTTTTGTTGTTATCATTTTTTTGCTTTATTTATTTTTTTCCAATATCAGGATACATTGATCCTTAGTTGAATGAGGGATTAACTTACTTAAATTAGCTCACGTGGGTTTTCTTCACATATTTGTATGCTTGTTATACCTGCAGATACCTCTCCTGATGGGAAATCTGGCTGTGAGAGGTAGGAAGGCCGTTAGGGTGGGAAGCAGCCAGAGTGGGGACCCTCACCTCCAATCTCCAAGGTGAGGAGTACTTTACCTTGAACAGAGAGCTCTTTACTGCATTTTTCTTCTGAGAAAGCTGCTTTTCCTCAGGACTCTCTCCTCGACACTCCCTCTCTACGTGGTCTAGTGTGTCTGGAGTTTGCTTCTGTTCTGCTTCTGAGGCCTCTGCAAGCCCCTCTCCTTGAGAGAGCAGTTCTTGGGGTGCCTGTATGGAGTCCCTGGGTGGTGCAAATGGTTAATGTGCTTGGCTGCTAACTGAAAGGTTGGAAGTTCAGTCCACCCAAAGGCACCTTGGAAGAAAGGCCTGGCAATCTACTTCTAAAAAATCAGTAACTGAAAGCCCAGTAGAGCACAGTTCTATTCTGACACATAGGGTCACAGCAACTAGTAACCGATTTTAATTTACTTTGATTCTTCATCATTTTTTTCTGAAAGAATATTTTTTCTAGTATTATATTTCCATATGTTAGCTTATATATAATCTTTTTATAGTATCTATGGTTTTTTTTTTCCTTAATTACTTGTCATTCAAGATGGCAGGATCTATTCTGACATGCACTGTCTTGAAAATCGTTACTTGGAGGACAGGTGATGAAAATTTACATTATATTACATCAGATTTATATCTTAAGGGGATCAAGGAGGCAGCTAGAGTGGTTCATAATAAAAATAGGGAACGTTTTCTCTGAATAACTTATTCATTTGTTGAAACCATCATACAATGATTAAATTTTACCCAAGAAGTTTTCTTTTTTTATGAAACATCGTGTTGGTGAGTTTGGTTCCAGTTTCTGGGCTACTTTTGATCCAACCATCGAGGAAAGCCTCTGTTAAAAAGGAAGTGTCCTGTCAAGAGGAAGGACCCCAGGGGATGACTGTTGTTGTTAGGTGCCGTCCAGTTAATCCCAACTCATAGTGACCCTGTGTACAACAGAACAAAACACTGCTCAGTCCTGCACCATTCTCACAATCATTGCTAAGTTTGAGCCCATTGTTGCAGACACTGTGTCAATCCATCTTGTTGAGGGTCTTCCATTTTTTCACTGACCCTCTACTTTACCAAGCATGATGTCCTTCTCCAGGGACTGATCCCTTCTGATAACATGTCCAAAGTACATGAGATGAAGTAGCACCACCCTTGCTTCTAATGAGCATTCTGGCTGTATTTCTTTCAAAACATATTTGTTCATTCTTCTGGCAGTCCATGGTATATTCAGTGTTCTTCACCAACACCATAATTCAAAGACATCAATTCTTTTTTGGGCTTCCCTATTCACTGGCCAGCTTTCACATGCATATGAAGCGAATGAAAACACCATGGCTTGGGTCAGGTGCACGTTAGTCCTTAAAGTGACATCTTTGCCTTTTTTTTTTTTTAAGTGACATAATAGCTTTCACAAAAGCAGGGGTTATAAATCTAAATTTGAATGGGAAAAATTGATGTCTATTTTCATTAAATTCGAACTGAAATTTATTTTTTTCGACTATGGGAACATAAGGCAACAAACTTCAGTAGTATTAGCAATGCCTGTGACTTCATCACCAATAGAAATTACAAATATTTTTATATCACATAACAGTTGTTGCGTATATCTTCAAATATCATACATGCTTATCACTAGTTTGAAACTATGCAGTTATTAATCCACTGCTGGATCTGATTATTTAAAGGCTTAATAAAAAAGCATGTATTTTACTGTATCACAAAATGCTTAATATTTTGATAGTTGTGTTCCGATATAGTTACTAAAACCAAACCAAAAACAAACCCATTGCTGTCTAATTGATTCTGACTTATAGCAACCCTATAGGACAGAGAAGAACCGCCCGTAGGGTTCCAAGGCTGTAAATCTTTCCTGAAGCTGACTGCCACATCTTTCTCCTGAAGAGCAGCAGGTGGGTTCCAACCACCAGCCTTTCGGTTGGCAGCCCAGTGCTTAACCACTGCGTCACCAAGGCTTCTTCCAATACAGTTAGCTTCCTTTTTAATCCCATCCATTTAATTAATGGATTTAGAAACATTCAAACTAGACCATAAAACAAACCTTGATACACTAAATGGATTGAATAATACAAAATATGTTCTCTACCCACAGTGGCATGAGATTAGAAATCAATTACAGAAAGATCAGGAACAAGACAAGGATTCTGTTTTCACCACTACTATTCAACATTAAGACAAATTAGATTAATGTTAAAAACCCTGGTGGCGCAACAGTTAAATGCCTGGCTGCTAACTGAAAGTTGGAGGTTTGAACCCATCCAGCAGCTCCACAGGAGAAAGATCTAGAGTTCTGCTCCTGAGATTATAACTTAGAAAGCGCTATGGAGCCGTTCTACTTTGTCACATGGGGTCACTATGAGTCAAAATCGACTTGATGGCACCTAACAATACAATAGCATGTGGGGAGGGGGGAGGGTGTTGTTGCTTTTTTTCATAGGTTTATTTCCCTAAACAATATATGTTGCTTTTTTCCTGTTTTTGAACTTTATGCCAAAGGAGTTATTTAGTATGCACCAGTGGGTCACATGACTTTTCTTCCTCACCATAATATAAAACAAACATTAGAAGAGCACCAAATTGTGTCTCTATCAATTCTCTTACTTGCACCTCAGCTACTTTTTTTCTGCGATCAGGAATATAACGTCAAGCCTTCAGGTTTTTTCTCTCTGTTTCTTCCAATGGTGCATTTTAAAAATGTTTCAATCCTGCTCTACCATCCTCCTCCCTCCATATGTTCTTCCCATGGCCAAACCCTGGATTTTCCGATTATTGCAAACATCATCTCTTCTAAGGATTCTCAGCAGTATAATGCTTTATGCATCTCATATTAAATGCTGCATATTTATTTTCTCATGCAATAATCATGATCAAAATAAATTTTCATCCATTTGTAATGAGAGCTCTTCCACAGAATGCATGCTCATTGAGGGAAGGGTTAATGGAATGTGTGCTAAATAAAGAAATAATGATTACTGTGATGGATAGCTGTAAGTTTCTCATAGCCCTGACTAGGCCTCTGTCCTCTTTGCTGCAGACTTCTCCATTGTGGTTGGGGTGCTGTTCCCATTGGCAGTCATATTTGTGGTGGTTGCTATAGTAATCCGGCACCAAAGCACCAGAAGAAAGCAGAAGAAAGTTCCGAGGTAAGCCTTTATCTTGCTTCAGGGACTTTTTTGGCCCCTATTTAACTTTAACTTGGAGAGTATGACCCAACTTCTCAAATTTCATTTTGGTTCACTTCAAACGTTCAGAAACATGTGCAGATGCTTTTTTTCTTGAACCAGAGGCTGGGAATCCATTTTACTAGGAAATCCTTTGCAGCAAGATACATGTCATTTTCCTTCTGTTAGTCACTATATTTATAATTAATAATTCCCATTAATTAAAAATATTTACATATTATAAGAATATAATATTTAACATTTATTGATCACTAAGTATATGACAAGCACTATGCTAAGTCCTTTTACATCAATTATCTCATTTAGTTTTCACAGCAACTTCATGAGGTAGTTATTATTTCTATTTTTACAGATAAAAATGTGTTATATTTTACAGATAAAAAGGTGTCATGTTTATATATAAGTATAAATATACATTTAATCCTTACAACAATCTTGCAAGGTAAGGTACTTTACATTTTTCCTGATGTGGAAATAGAAGCTTAATGTAGTTGACTAGTTTAAAGTCTTACAATGTACATGATGGTAACTTGATTTGCACCTAGACAAGTTCATCTTAGGAGTGTGGTCTTGACACTACAGTATCTCTCTAGCATTTTTTAAAACTGATTTATTCACCCACAATTGGTTTTTAAATAAATATTGAATGAATAAAAGTAATTAATTATATGATATCATTTAGTAAAAATTGGATATTTCGTAAAAAATGGATACCATCATTATTAAGAATCAGGGCTCTGAACAGAATCAAAAAGAAAATCATTGGTGGTAATTATAAACTATAAGACAAGAAGGCAGCTAATAGAGAACTGTAAGTGGAATAATGCCATAGGGAGAAGATAAAAACCCAGTTGTTAACCAAGGATGACACAATGGGCAAAGGAAGATGATACATTTCGACTGTTTCCCCATCATGCTGAAGTACTGTTAAGTCAATTCACATGAAATGTTTTCACTCACAGGCCACTGTCCAACACTGGAGCCAGACCACACAAACAGAAGAGGAAACCCCAGATGCCAAAAGCTGTTCAACCCCAGGAGGTGGACTCTAATTTCTACTGTTGGTCGTGGGCCCAAGTTTGTGATTCTGTCATTCTTTTACCCTGACTACCTATCTATCATTTCTATCCTGCAGTGTTTTACAAATCCATACCAGCGTTTACTGTATAGCAAGGACTGTAGGCTCTGTAACTGCAAAGTTACAGGCCGTCCTCCTTTGCCCTTTGTTAAATGCAAAAGAGAGCACATCTTAAACCTGAGGCTACTTTGCTGGAGTTCATGAAACGCAAAGTGAATAGAGAGCACAAGAAGAAGCAGAAGCCGGAAGTCCCTCTCTGACTCTAGGTTGAGTCCTTACTTGTTTTGCCATTTCCATAGAGCAACAACAATGTATATATTAACCTTTAATTCTCTGGTTGTGTCCTGTAAGTTTAGAGACTTTAGCTAAAGTTGGTTAATGATAACACAGTGGGTAATGATGTTTTTGATGGAAACTTACCATTCCTTGATAATTCTTGGTAAATACACCCCAAAATGCAGCAGCTGGGTCATGGGGATTTCCAGCCTGGTCTTTAGGGTTCACCTTAGGTCTGAGCATCCTTGCCTTAAAAGTACTGCTTATTTGGAAGCTATACTTAGAAAGTTATGTTTTCATTTAAAAACATTGTTTCCTTTTTAGATGAGCCAGATGAAGCTCCACATGTCTGACCTGCCAGGAGAAGGCAATGAGCCTGCAGCTTCTTTTGTGAGTGTAGCAATTTCTCTGAAAACATTACCCTAGTCCAACCTCTAGGAAATGTTAGTGATAAACAAAGTCCTCCATGCCCAGTTATTTCTTCAGAAGAATGTTGAAATCTGTGTGAATATTAATATAACATATAGGTTCTTCAGCAAAACTTTTTGAAAATATAAAATGTGAGAATGTATGCCTCTGTTTTATACTCCTAAGTTCCCCAAAATCTCAGTTCCCAGCCAGGAAGCCAAGAACTCATCATAAGTAGAAAACTACTTATCTGCTCCATAGCTACCATCATGTGTCCATTGTGATTGGAATTATTTCTGAATTGTATGTGTGCAGCTAAATTAAAGCAATCAAATTTCCAGGTTTAGAATATGTTCATAGATAGGTTCATAAGTTCTCTATTTCTGAAAATGATTTAGTCTTTTTCATTACACACCTGTTTTCAAGGCCCTGTCCTTAATTAAGAATCTTTACCTTCTTATTAGCTACTTACAAAGCCGAATTTTCCACCACCGCCAATTCCTACATCTGTATCATCTTCCTCTTTCCTTGTAAGTATCAGATGGTCACTGAGTGATTTTTTTTTTTTTAATGTCTCTTTTCCACATATGCGTACCCAGTGAGAATGGTGTCTCTAAATCCATGGGTTCTTTATCAGGATATGTGCTCCCTGGGCTAACCTGAGATATTATAGCACATTTGTCTTAGGGATATCTGAGAAAATTAGGCCTGTTTACTGTCTATTCATTATTGTGGGTATTAATCCTTTATTATGAAGAATGATACTACTGTTAAATAATTGCTAAGAAATGATAAATAGTTCTGCTGTATGATCCTTTAAAGGATCATGTCTAAATGATTATTTTGGGAGATTTTAGGTTTTACTATATAAATGATACTTTTCTTTCTTATTATCATAGAATAAATCCTATTGTTAGTTACCGTTACCTGTAGGAGGTAGGGAATAAAAATTAGACCATATATAGGCAAACCTGGAATAAAAGGTAGGCACTTACGAAGTAAAAACTAGAATTCATTCTCTTACCAAGTAATTACTGAGTATGTTTGCTTGTGTTTGGTTGGTACTCTGTTCTGAGTAAATGAGAAAGAGCTAAGACTTAAGTTCCTTTATTTTTTTCAAGAAATTTTTACATTTTCTGTGTGATAGCCACCCATATACACACAGAGCACTTAATTCCTCAGTTATTATTTGTGCCAAAATGAGCGCCCTAACAATAAGAAAATGTTGAGGGTTAAATTATTGGAGTTAGAACGGTTAAAGTGGGAAGTTCCACTAATTAAGTAGTTGGAATCTGAACGGGACTTTGAAGGTTGAGTAGAATTTAAATGGGTGAGGAGGGGGTGAGGAATGATTTCAGATAAGGAAATAAGTATAAACTAGTATGGTAAAAGCTTAACATTTCTAATGACCTAGCCTTATTTTTATCCTTAATATAGTGTAAAGACACAAAAGTATTTCCCTCTTCTGTTTTCAAGGATAAGCCAATATCTACATCTAAGATAAGAGATCCATAGCTAAACCATTCAAACCTTGTAGCACTCTTAGTATCAAGGAGAGAAGTTCCAACCATGCCTTCTAAAAGAAGTTCACCAAGAACAGTATATTATTCTGTGGTGGGTGCTGACATGAATGTCTTTATTCTGAGTTTGACCAATAACCAAAAGGAGTAAAATGGAAGGGTCTTAGCGAGACAGCTCTGATGAGCCAAGTATTCTTCATTTTCTCAGAAATTTTCCCAGTGGGATGGTGGGAATGAAGGAGATCTCCCACAGCATAATCATCTAGTATCTCTTAATTCAACTACTGTTCCCCACTCTCTCTATTTTGTTCTAATTAGTTAGGTGATATTTTAATCCCAGTGTGATGTATTTCTCACCTTTTTCCCTACCTTTTCATGCTTCCACCCCTTCACAGTTGATATATGAAGTAACTGTGTAATAGGATGTATGACTACAAGGAATTAATTTTAATTTCTAATACTTTATAATTATTTAATATAAAATATCTAAATTATTTAAAGAAGTTGATAATTTAAGAGTTTGTTTATTTGTCTGTTTAGGGCTCAAATCCAAAAGTCTGAAGCAACAGCTAAGCAAGAATTGATGAATAAATGATCAAATTAGAAGTCTGAACAATCTAGTTTGAAGAGAAATATACTTACTTTCTTACTACTACTTGCTTTTGATGCCCAAGGAGTTAACATTTCTTGATTCATGTTATATTTTGAAGAGATTGGAAAAAAATTTTCAGGAGAGACATACTCTTGAGAAACTGTCTATGAATATAAGATATCTATTCTCCATACTCTTGGGCAAGAACATGACTTTGAAGAAGCAGCTATGAAGCTGAAACCTCTAATTCACTAATTTTCCACTCCAATCTTTTTTTTTTGTTTTACTGTGATGCTGACAAATATTTTCTCAAATATTTTGAACACTTTGATTTTCTCATTTTGGTAGAAATTAATCAACTCTGTAATGAAAAACAAACCAAAAAAAAGCACAGGAAACTAGATGAAGTAGGAGAAATATTGTACATCTATCATTGAATGAATAGCAGCATCTTGATTGTTTTAACACTAACTTATCGAACTAGAACCTTCAGTTTGGAAGAAAATGATGTAAGCATTATCTGTTTTATATAAAATGTCTCCTCACATTCTCTTGTAATAATGTCCTTATTAACTAAAAAAATGTTCTATCATAGATATTTACACAACTCAATTACTGGCAAGGTTAGAGTGAACTTCTTTTCTATATAAAGAAAATTTTATTTAAATAAATATTACAAAAGAGAGGTTGCAAACTGCTGACCTGCAGGTCATGTCTGGACTGCAGATGTATTTCATTTGGCCTAAATGATGTTGGCCACATAGTCTTTTTAGATGTTTTGAATTTATTGCCAATATTTAAAAATTGGGAGTTCTTGCATAAACTTTCAGATTCCCAGCTTTTTAAAAGTAATTAGATAGTCTGTCAACACTGCAACCACATTGTCTAATAGCAACAATCAGCTTAGCTGAGCGGTGGTGGAGCAAGCTCTGTTGGTTGCCTGCCAGATAATCGCCTTCTTCCTTGCTTTTCAGAACTCTTATTATGCTCAGGTATAAATCCTTTTTACTCTAAGATAATCATAATAATCTCATTTCCCTTACCAGTTGTTGATTTGGAAGTAAGCATAATACCTCTTTTTTTGTCAGTGAAATAAGAGAGGAGGTATGTTGGAGAATTTCTGGAAAAGATTCCCTTGTCCTTTCTTCTGGATGTTGGCATCTGGTAATGTTGCAGCTATATTGTGATTATGGGTATGAGGGCAAAGTTGATATAATGAATAAGATGGAGCAGAAAGATGAAAAGAATAAAATCAGGTCCTTTAATGATGTCATTGAACTGCTAGATTAATGAATGGTGGAGTCACCTCACACTTTGTTGACACTTTCTGTTTTGTGATCAATAAAGTTTCCTTATTGTTTAAGTCATTTTGAGCTGGGTTTTCTCTTACTTGTAGCTGATGAAGTAGCCGCCCCCATTATCAGGTCAAATGCTTTCCACTTCATTGTCACAGCCATATTTTTTTTTCTTTACTCAGCCTGCTTCACTCATTTATATCACTTACCTGGCCCCTACAGGCCTTTTCTCACAGCGGGGATTTGCCCACAAGAAGTTTATTTTCCCTTGTAGTGTGAAATTCTAGATAAATTCACTCTGGCCTCAAAAATGAAGCTCAACTTTCAGTAAGCCCAGAGTCCAATTATAAAATCACCCTCATTGTGGTAGCTTTTCTTTCCATGTGAGAGTTTGCTCAAAAGCACCTCAAAAATTGTTGCTTCATCTGCAGTGTGAGGTTCCAGAAGACCCTGCTGTCACTGAGAAATAAATGACCATTTCCTTTAACGCCGTAATCTACTATGACCAACTTATGAGTCTTTGCTGTATTTGTTTTTTCTTGTTTACTTCCTATCCCTGGCAATAGATTCACCTCAGTCTTTTCAATATTGATGAGATAGAAATTGTGAACCAATGAGTCCTCAACTAGCCATCTACCATGCCACAGGGTAGAAATAAACCATATTTCTCAGAGACTGACATTGGATACATCCCTGTGGGTTCCGCAATTAAGGCACTAGGTCACTGCACGATGTGGACTCAGTTTACCAAAAAGCAATTCAACCTTTTGGTCCTAGTTTCTGAGCCTTGCCCAGGTTGACCTTTACCCAGATTGGCTAAAGGCCCTGCTGAGTGGCCAATTTTTACCCAGACTGGCTGAGGAGTTCTGCTCAATCTGATCTTTACCTTGATTGGCTGGAAAGCCCCATCCAGGAACTGACTTTTACATGGATTGGCTGCAGGGGTGCACAAGAGCACTGATAAAAACCACTAGAACACTGAGGCTTATCTGGGGCCTTCTGATTGACAAGTGTCACAAGAGAAGCTGTGTTTTGGATGTGGGTGCCCTGCTCTATGAAACTCCCAGACTGAGTGAAGCTGTGATGGCGACAGAGGCAGTAGCTGCGACTATAGCAGAAGAGGCAGAGACAATGAGGAAACAGACGATGGCAGCACAATATAAAAACTGAACCCCAGCAGAGAGCTGTGAGGAGTGGCCGCCTGCCAAGTAGTGTCACACAATTCCTGTTGAAAGTTTCCCGATGGGTGAAAATGAACATCCCTTTTCGGAAAAAGTAAGCGCATCCCCTTGAGATATGGAGGCCCTATACTGGGACCCCTCCTGAACCTCGGCCTATGAATATCTTTCTGTTTATATCGTTCTCTGTTATTTTAAAGATATTATTGCAGATACGATTTTTCTGTGAGTTCTCTCGGATTGTTGCAATGAAGTATGGAACCCAGTAAAGAATGCTGTGGGGAGAACTGCTGGTGTTAGAAATGGGGGAGAAGTTGGAGAACTGTATACTTGACCTCAGCCTCATAGGCACCAGCTTTGTCCAGATTCTTAACCTACTAGTTATCCTTTCAGTTGGTATCCAAGAAAGTTCACGTATTACAGTCCCTGATGTAAAGTCATTATAGGATCCTTCAGGAGATAGATGAGAATAGGGTCTTTGAAGATCTTATCAGTTAACATGAAGTCATACTGGAGTAGGGTGGGTCCTAATCCAATCTGAGTGATATCCTTGTAAAAGAGAAGAGACACAGACATACAGAGGTAAAAGGGGCACGTGAGGATGAAGTTATGCCGCTATAAGCCGGGGTATGGTTGGGACTGCCAGAAGCTATGAGAGACAGGAAAGGATCTTTGTCTAGGGTGTTCAGAGAGAACATGGCCCTACCATCCCCATGAATATTTTAGATTCCTGTTTTTAAAGCATAGTTGTTGCCGTTCTCAGCAAGAGCCATGTGCAATGCTTTTTTTTGCCTTTCAAAACATCTGAGTAAATTCAAAGTTGAAATTTCCTCTGGTGGGAATAACTAATTAAGGAAGTTCAGAAATTTATGTACATGGGAAGCAAGGTGGTGTCTGAATAATTTTTGAGGACGAGCTCAGCCACTGAACTGCAAAAATTGTTACATTTTCTTCTAGAGAAGTTCCCTGGTTCATAGGCCAAGTATTATGACTCAGAGGATAGCACTTTTTCCAATCTGTGTCACTAAACTGGCCTTTTAATCTCATTAACTGCTGTGAAATAGATCTCTGAGATTTGCGTGTCTTTTGGGACATGTTATAAATAAAATTTAGTGGAGTCTACAGGAGCAAATTCTGGGAAGACACTCCTTTAATTCTGCATGCCAATGACAGGGCAGAGCAGATCCACAGGAGAGCTGATATCTTAGATGGAAACAAAGGAGAAGTCAAGAGAAATCTAGTGGAAATATGAAGAGGAGCAAATAAGAAGAAATAGAAAAATAAAGTTACAGTGTGGGAGGGTAAAGAGCACACAAGAATGAAAGAGTCCCCCTGGCTCTACCAATCACTATCTTTGTATTCATACGCAAATAATTTAAAGTTTGTGAGCATATTTTAATCTCCTCATTGTAAAATGGAATTAATAATACATGCCTTTCCACTTTCCAAGATGATTTACTAAGAAACATGTAAAGGTAGTATGAAAATATGAAGAGCAAAAGAGAAGAAGGAGATGTCCATGGTCTAGAAAGGTAGATACTGTGCATCCATTGGTGACATATCCATAGGATGACTTGGTCCGTTGAGTTAGTCAGTGGTGAGACCGTGTCTGTGTAGTGTACTATGTCACACATTTCCGGCAGGAAGTAGGATTTGTGGGAAGGTTTAGTTATTATTTGTACATATTTCATTGGCAGGCCTTTACTCCCTTGGGGTCTTTTATTCCCAGTTCCAAAGACTGACATAAATAAATATAGAAATAAAATAATGGCAAAAATAGAGATAACACAAGTCCAAGGGAGCGTGGAGAAAATGTTTATTAAGATAGAGGATGAGAAATTTCTCAGGGAAGATGTCATTTATAACTTAAACTTTTTTAAAACTCTTCAGGCAGAGAAAAAGGACAAATACATTCTAAGGAGATAATGGGGTTAAACAATAGCATGTATGAAGTCATGATTCCAGAAAGGGTGCGGCGTGTTCAGGAAACCGCAGGCAGCTCATAAAAGATAGAGTGAGCCAAAGCTTTTTATTATTTTTATTAAGTCTGTTTATATATTTATGTATACTACTTTCATTAAGCATACACACACATTTATGCATACACAAATTGAGGCAGTTTAGAAAACAACACTAAAGAAAAAGAAATAGTTAAGAGAATTAGAAAGCAAGAAAGTTATGGGAACAATAAGGACATGGATCTGATAAGCCCATTGAAATATAAAACATACAGCCTGTCTTAGTTGTCTAGTGCTGCTGTAACAGAAGTACCACAAGTGGATGGCTTTAACAAAGAGAAATTTATTCTCTCACAATCTAAGAGGCTAGAAGTTAGAATTTAGGGTTCCAGCTTCAAGGGAAGGCTTTCTCTCTCTTTAGTTCTGGAAGAAGGTCCTTGTCACCAATCTTCCCTTGGTCTAGGACCTTCTTAGGCACCAGGACCCCAGGTCTAAAGGATGTGCTCTGCTCCCAGTGCTGCTTTCTTGGTGGTATGAGGTCCCCCATATCTTCTGCTCACTTCTCTCTTCTATATGTCAAAAGAGATTGGCTCAAGATACAGTCCAATCTTGTAGATTGAGTCCTGCTTCATTAACATAACTGTCACTAATCCCATTTTATCAACATCATAGAGATAGGATTTACAGCACATAGGAAAATCACATCAGATGACAAACTGGTGGACAGTCACACAATACTGGGAATCAAGGCCTAGCCAAATTGATACACATATTTTTGGGGGGACACAGTTCAATCTATGACACAGCTTTACATGTTTGATAAGTATGAGCTCCAAGTTTTAATCCAAACTTTATAAAAGCAAAAAAAAAAAATTAAGATTGCTATGAGATTCACAATGTCCATAAAGCAAAAATAAATAACCACCAACAAGGATTAAGGAAAAAAAAGGCCTACATAAACAAATCAAAAATGAGCATATAAATAAAAACATGATGGATCATAAGGAGCACAGTTCTTCCCACTACTGAGACTTGAAAGAAGTTTTCATGATGGTATTGCTGTTGAATCAGACTTCAGAACCTGATTCTACCTTTTGCTGAGTTGTTGCCCTGGTAACACTTCAGTACTTCATAAAACACCCTTGGCTGTTGCACTGGCCAGAACTCTGGTCACACCCAGCCAGAAATGAAGGGAGCAAGGCATAGGCTCAAATTAGGGCACCTGCCACCTTTTCACAAGTATCTATTAGCATCACTCAGTACAATAGAGTAATTGTTTCTAAATGAGCTGTATATCATGAATTAAGAAACTAATAGCACCTTCTTAAACTAGGATCTCATATCATCACTAAACAAAACAGATAACTTCACTTTTTTAGAGTACTTAAGCATTTTAAAAATATATACATCAGAGCATATTTAACTATGCCATTAAATGGATATAATGTTTGAAAACAATGGCTTTATACCAAGTGACACTGGTTCCATTTTGTATCACTACACAACCATTAGTTATAAATGCTGCTTTTTATCTCGACTGATTATTTGAGAACTTGAATCTATACTTTTTCTCCTTATAGGATAGTTCCTAAGTTTATTATTTAATAATTAAAACGTATGTACAATATTACATTTACTCTCTTACCCTCGTAATGACTTTATTTGGATCAATTCTGCTTGGAGTAAAGTAAAAGAAATAAAAGCAAACTAGCTATAATTTTCTTCATTTGCTAAAAGTCAACATTGAAAGTGTTCTTCATGTAATAATGGTTCTTGACCAAAGATGAGCATTGAAATCATCTATGCAACACTGAAAAAATACAGGCCTCAATTTATACCAACAGAATCTGAACATGGGGGAAG